CAAATCATACATGAGAAGGCTAAAAGTGGTCATAGCCAAAGTCAGCCTATGACAGCTCGCTATAACCACCCAATAAGATGCAACCACTCATTCACAGTGTTAGTAAAGACCGTGCAGTCACACAAGTCGGAGGGACAATTAACTGGTCATTTTCGTGCTGGGTTTTGAGCTGGATGTCCAGGGAGTCCACCCAGCTAAGCGGGGCTTGTTGCTGCGAGAACTCCCGGAGCCAGCGCCATGAATTTGGGCACAAGTGCATAAACGTAACTATATCAGAACGTGAATATGGAGCCTGAAGAAGGTTAAATATGAAGTGAGTTACATACATGCAGAGCAAAAATTACAACATCTTCAAATATGTTGGTTACGTTAGTATGTTTTCACGACATGCTTGCGGATGACGTTGCTAGCGATGATTTTTGATGCAAAGATGTCAGTTATTCGCGGAAAATATGAAATCATAAAATCGTTTCACAGCTTAGGGCCAAGGCAAATTTTGTAAATTGTCTGTTATTACGATTAGTTACGTTGGTCTAAATGTGTACTCGCCTCATATCCATTTCATTTGTTTCGTAGAGCTTGTATGTTAGATCGAATGATGCAAGACGCTGTGGAGTTAAAAATTTGTGTATCACAATTACCATTTGGGATTTAGCGATATCCAATAGATTCAAAATGTTGTACTGTTTAAACATTGGCTCGGAGCTTTGTGGAGGATACATGTTCTTCATCAGGCGCACAGCCCTTTTTACCAAATTGCTAAGAAAATTACTACAAAATTACTAAGTATTTTACCATATTCAAATCTCTTCCACTCGACCGCCTTACACTGCTTTGAAAATTGAAAACGAATGTCCCCGAAAAATTAGCTAGCTCAAACCAACATAAATGACTATAGATAGGCGAACTGATTCATGACTCAACGAAAACAGCGAAAAATTTAATTCGAGCGATCGAGCTAACGCGCAAGAAACTGACTAAATGTACATTTGCCTGTCATATGTATATATATATATATATATATATATATATATATATATATATGTGTGTGTGTGTGTGTGTGTGTGTGTGTGTGTGTGTGTGTGTGTGTGTGTGTGTGTGTGTGTGTGTGTGTGTGTGTGTGTGTGTGTGTGTGTGTGTGTGTGTGTGTGTGTGTGTGTGTGTGTGTGTGTGTGTGTGTGTGTGTGTGTGTGTGTGTGTGTGTGTGTGTGTGTGTGTGTGGTGTGTGTGTGTGTGTGTGTGTGTGTGTGTGTGTTCGTTACACCAAACCAAGCATAGTCTCGTCCAGGCATTATGAGCTCGTTGCATCCTGGCAGACACGGATCTGGTAAGATACGCGGACACCTCCATTCCCTACGCACTAACTGGGTTCGCTGCTGATACCATCGGTATGTGCCGCGCCTAGTCCGACCGGTCTTGGAGACTGGGATTGGTAGTCAGCCCAGCCGGGCCGACGGCTGGAAACTGGTGCGCTTTTCTTTTTCATGGCATTCTACAGGAATGGCGTGCATGCTGAATTTTTGAAAGTTTCGTCGGTCTTCGTCATGAGGTTTCACCTTAAAATGATGAGAACCCCAGGAATGGTATGATCCTGCTCCTCACTCTCTCTCTCTCTCCCCTCTCTCTCTCTCTCTCCCTCTCTCTCTCCCGATGACTTACAAGGCTGTTCACAATGTTGTGTGGTGCGTTCGCAATGCCGACGTCGCTAAAATTTAAAGGAGGAACTTACGCCACTTGCATTCGTGTGGCTTCCTGTTCAGTGTGTGCGTATGTGTGTGGAGGGTGAAGGCAGAGCCTATTTTGGGCTTATTTTGATTATCAATTTTCTCTGCCCAGCCTCTCAACTTATTTTGTGAAACTACGTTCAGGGTCAGTTGCGTTTTCTTCGGTAAGACGTCGTGCGTTCATATGTTTAGTTTTACATAATTCCAAGACACATTCAAGCTGTGTACATGAAGCATCAAATTAACTCCTCGACGATGTAAGGACTTGTGCGAGACGTCAACACGGAGCAAGTGCCTGAAACTACGTCTATTTATTATGTAGGATATTGTATTTCACGTGTCTAAGAGGTGCCAAGTAGAGGCGAGGTCTTCCACACCACGGTCTATGGACTCAGTTGCCTAATGGAAAATAAAATAATGCCGTCTCAAAGATGTCACATCAGGCGTCATGAAAATGTCGATGTGGGGCAAAACGTGAATATATTAGGAGTCACAGGTTATGACAAGTTGACTCATTCATTGCACAACGCGCAATGCAGATCGTCTCAGTGTTCAGTCTAGTTACACCGGTGACGGAAGCGCCATGGTGTGTGCAGCCTTATTACAATGATTGTCACAGAACTGCAGACGTCATAAAACACGCGAGTGCACCATACATGAACGGTCTCAGCGAATTAGCTGCAGCGTGTCTGCATGCATTGAACAGCAGTTGATGGGTGGGGTGATGATGGGGTGATGAATTTGCATTCATGTCAGCCTGTTTTGGTCTGAGGATGCTCACCTTTGTTCAAACCGAGTATTGAAGTAAGCACATAATGCAGTTTTGGCCACGCGCGCTCGTAAGTATTCCAACAAGACCCCCGACCACCAGTGTTACATTCTCCATAGGCTGCACGACGTTGGTCCCGCATTTAACACTAGGCGGTGGCCAACATGTGGATGAAAAAGGCAACGTTTCTGAAGGAAGCAACTTTGAATGCTTTAGGCTGTCAGTTGGTACATTTATAAGGTGTCCAGAGTACGGTTCACCTGTGCAATTTCTATGTTTATGACAGGAATGGATTCGCATTCACAGCACCGCGAACCGGTGCTGGAATTGTATGGTAGAACTAGACATGTGCAAGGAGAACATCTATTTTCGTGTTGCTGTCGCCGTTTACTTCCTCAGAGAATAACCTTAGAACTCTACAAATTGTGTATACGTCGCAGTCTAATCTCTGATTGGCGCGAATTGATTTCAGGACTTTTGGAAACATTATTTCACGACGGCTATTCCCTGGCATCAGGCGCCCACCGCCCGGCGTTAGCTGCAGCGGCCAACGCCGCCCGTTCTCATGGCAACTGCGACCCCGGTCATTGGTGTTCTCGCTCCTATGACTGTGAAGTGTGAGCACGCAGACTGAAGCACTGTTTTACGTTATTTGTTTCGCACGCTGATCCCGAGTAAGGATGACCGCAACGTTTGCGTTTTCTTTTTCATTTACAGCGTGGGATTTCGTTTGGCTGTCATGCTGGTGACACAAGGTCAGGATCCCCTGGTCGATACGGAAAATCTTAGAGATACATAATACATCGGTTGCCTTCCTGACGCCGGAGGCCCCTGAACCGGCCATTTGGCCAGGATAGATGCATGGGCTCTCACGGATACAAACTATCCTTTTTCGTCGCAGGTGTCCAATAATTCGCATAAGGACTACAGCTCAGCATAACGGGCCCCTGGCTGAAATGGGATGGAGAGCCCTCCGTTCGGTACCGGGGCCCTGCCTGACAAAGGACCTTCCTGTGTCGTATTGCAGACTGCCATCGTAAACTCTCATTTCCATTTTCATTGTCAGAGGGCCTCGACCAACGCAAGAGGCCCCTGGCTGTAGGGGTTCGTCCCTCTCCCTGTCCAGCCCATGTTACCCTGGCCGACTCAAGGCTGGTTGCCAACGCTGGACGCTCTACCAGCAGGCACTGTGTACCATAATCAACAAAGAAACCCCCTCGCTGCTTCAGGGGTCCCCACGAATGCAGGCCACGGGTTCCAACCTTGTCCCTGCTTGGGACATTGTCCCAAGACTTTGTTCCTGCTGCATGTTCGACATCGCTGTTGCTGATGGTCGTGGTCGGACGATTACCGCTATCGGTTTAGTCAGCTGATCGTCAGATTTTGCAGCTGTTAAATCGAATGTTCGCGTTGAAGAGGAGGTCGACACATTTCATGGGTTCCTCTGAATGCAGACGGGTAAGAACTTGCCCACCTGTTCGGGTGCAAATATGCGACCGCTATGTTTTCATTTTCCGATAAGACTCGTGGGAAAACGACGCAGCTGGCTGCGGGCAGTATAACCTGAAAAATCGCTAAATTGTGCCGGAACACTCCCGCAATAGCACAATACTGGACCAGAGTTAACAAGAGATAAATTCGTGTGGTTGATAGCATGCAGCATGCAGGAAAAACTCATATAAGCCCGGTATGACCACAGAGCTTTGAAAGTGTGACTAACTCAGCAAGGTACACTAAACTCGACATGATATCGCAGTCTTCATTTCCTTTGGTTCTTTTACCTGCGCAACAATAAGCAGCCTTCTTTAAATTTGATATAATCTCGAGCTCCTACTTGTGACGTTCCAAAACTGCTTGGACTCCAAAGGATTGTTGGGACCAAACTCACCAATGAGGGGCCAGATCGTACATTGGCAAAGGGGGGGGGGGGGAGCAATGGCCCACCCAAAAGGATGCAAACCGACACCAGTGGCTAGTGCCGATTTTATGAGTTGTTGGCGATGCGGGTACATTCCGAATTAGCGACAAAACTGTCCAACTTTTTGAAAAGTTGAAATTGACTTCAAGCGAGCTAACTGAAAAAGAAAAGCGGCTAATGGCCCCTCCCCCCAGTTTCGGGAGGCTTCCAATGCCCCTATGCTGCAATCGCTACGGTACCGAAATTTCGCGCATAGCTGTGCAGTATTATGAACATATGCAAATCAGATGTGATAGCTTTGCTAGGTACTTTACCACAAAGAGGGGGAACAAACATGATAATTGGATTTCCTTCTCAATATTTTTCATTTCTCACATTTAAGGCAACCACAATCTCTAACCTACAAAACGCGATGACAGGCGGTTTGGCTGACGCTTTTCCATGCTAAATGTTTGTTCAACCTTCAATATCACTACAAGACATGACAAGTACAATTCTGCTTCAATTTCAACGACTCCTCTGACCTGCTCTATACACAAAGATCTAGTAGGCGGCGAGCGGCGCAGTGTGGTGACTTTCTGGCGCGGGTGGGAACAGTGAATGCGCTGATTCGGCCATAACGCTCTAGAAGCGCTTATGGTGGATTTATTGCTGTGGGACGCACGGAGCCCAGTAATCTTTGGTGTTTGTATGGTGCATCGGCATTGGTGCATTACTCATAAAAATGTGTGATGCAACGAAAAGGACACTGTGAGTACTATTGGTTCCATCCTAGTGCAGGAGTCGTTCCCATTGAAGACGAAATGGTCTGAAATAGCATTGCCTGTTCCCTAGTCTGAGTAGGCACGCAGGCATCCCTGTGTGCTCTTGGTATGCACGTTCTTACTCGTACTTATCTAATGTTACGTTATTTTTGGCAGCTGCTTCACTATTCTCTATTCTTACACAAACTCCAATGATTTTCATAATGGGGGCTGAGCTTGAAGTTATTTATTTGCTGATCATTTGCCTGGTCATAGTTAAATTTCCAAACAAGAATCAAGCTCTTTTAATACAATATTTCAATCCTGCACCATCTTGGGGCTTGAAATAGTCATGACATTAAAAGCCTATGGTACATAGTCGGCCTTGGGACAACAGTCTACATGGTCATGCATGTCGAAGCCGTCACCCATTCAGACATGACTGAAGGGCTCTTCCTTTGCCCTTAAGCTTTCAGATATCCTTGGAATAATTTTGATCAAGATCAAAATTATTACAAGGCAGTCTGAATATATGTATAGTTGGTAATTATCCATAATCATTGGTTGCAATTTTCTACCCTTGCATGGACACCCACTACATTCAATTTTATGTTATGCCATATTGCAGCATTGGTCTCACCTGCATCATGCAGTTTAGAACCATTTGTAGCAAATGCATCTTAGATCTTGGAGAGATTGGACCAGTTTTTACCTGTGTTGAAGTGGCCTTTTGTCCTGTCCTAAATTTCATTATCATCCTTCCCTGATGCCAACTTTTGTATTCCCCCATGTGGTATGCATGTACAATTCATGTAAGTGTTGCTTACTTCTGGGGATGGTTTACCAGACATTGCTCTTAAATCCTCATGAATTTCATCTTTGCGTCTGTGAGGGAGAAAGAGACACAATTTGCCAATAGTCTTCATTTCATGCTGGATTGAAGTGTTTAGGGAAATACCTGTTTGATCCACTTTATATTAAACATCAGCAGAGGCTTTTTGTCACTTTTTAGAGATTCCATGTCATGTTTTGACATTTGATAACTGAGAGATCATGATGCACTGTTGGGAAGGAACCATCACCTGAAACTAGCCATACATGTGTTTGAGAGTGAACACAATGGTTCTTTTGCCCTGCCTCACCTAACTTGTGTGGGGATATGAACTATCTTGTGCATAAGCCTCACACCCAGTCAAATTTCAGATATGTTGGGAACCTCGATGCTTCAGTCACAGAGGACCTGATCATAGCCCTCTTCAGTCCAATTGGTCAAGTGAAGAGCTGTAAAATCATTACTGAGGTAAGCCCAACTGATTTGTGCTCTGTATTAATATCTTGTTCACTGAAGGATCAATGTTATTTCATGTGCCATCCGTACTATTTAATTATAGCCTTGACAATCAAGTTGTCATATGTATGTGTGTGTGTGTGTGCGTGTGGGTGTATGTGCAACAGTTAAAGTGTCCTGCATTGCCATGCTCTCATTTTTATACACGCTGTATATTGTATGCATCAGGGTCATTGCTGAGTTATGAATTTTGAACCTGCATGCAGAAGATAATTTCTGGAAATCCATTCTTAGAACCATCGTTCTTTTTCCACAGACTCTTCGGGTGTGGTATAAGTTTACAGCCAGGTCTGTACACTGAAATTATCTGTAATGCACAGAGGCAGTGCATGGTATTGCCAAGGGCCTGGAGACGAATCACGATGAAAGGTACTATTTTTATTCTTATTCTATGTTGTGGACCCCCGGAGACAACGGACCTGGAAACGAGCGACGCATTATGGCAATCGGTAACCTTTTTATATTTTATCGGAGATCTGATGCTACCTAGGACTCCAACGGAAAGGTATATTTTTTATTCTTCCTTTGGTTTCTACCGGATTCGGATTCGACCTCGAACACATTTCATGTTGGTTGGCATTGGAATGATGCATTTGCTGGAAGTGACTACATCGCAGCTGCTGTGTTTGATCTTACTCATTAAACGACTAACCGAAATAGTGCTTGCAAAGATCGTAAACCACGTAAAACATCGGCTTGGTGTCACCACGGCTGTTAAAAATTTCAGCACTGTTTACAACGCGGTTGAGTCAATGTGTGAGCTTTGAAGTATCCGGTGCGGTGACCCGGTATGTACACGGAATGCAACAGGCTCCACACCGACGGATGAACGGTAAATTTTCTTTCTTTTTCCCCGCCTAGTGAGAGTAATAAAGCCTCAACAGGTAAGCGTTTACATTTTTACTGGGTGCGTTTGGTGTTTGTTGCCTTTAGTAACGTTGCAAGTAAGACGAGTTCCTTTGCCTCACTGCCTTTATCCTTGTCGGTGATCCTTCTACCTGAGAGGCTGTGTTCGAGCCGTTTTAACTTGACCGTAGCCGATACTTCGCATGACATGGCTATATCTTATTATATGATGTCGAATCCATTTACAACGGAATCGTATTCCAAAGCATTGTTTGCACTACCCTTGGTACAAGTGAGTTTGTCACGTCCCAGCAGGGTACAGCACTTGTGTTATAACACGCTTCTATTTCGTTTATATGTTGGTCACTTAATCAAGGGCAGGATGCCAGAGGATAATTTGAGTTGTTTTTGCTCATTCGAATAACGTGCACTGGTAAATCGAATCCTTCTGCTTGCGTTAGATAAATTTGAACTGCTGCTGTGTGAAAGAGTACTTCCTTCGGTGTATCCAGTATTCCCATTTGCTTTTGGACCAAGCTAATCATATATCTGTTATCCCAACGCTGTTCTTGAAGCTGCGTCTCAAGACGAACGCTTTACTCTACCCAATGCCTTTTTAAATTTGCATCAAATTTGGAAGCTTCATTCCTTTTCTCAGCTGTACTCCGAGCGTTCCGAATGGCTACCTTTCTGGGATGAGAGCTCACGCTAAGCAGTGCTTGTTGTGTGAGCCCTGATCACCACCATCGGATCGTTGACCTAGATCGCAAAGCCGGGTCAACGGCAAAATTGGGTTGCAAAAGTTTAACGTGCCGTAATGCTCCACACGGTCCGGCCTGCTGTCGCAGGCCACCTGACCTTTCGCGCGGCCTCTGCCAACGGCCGCCGACCGTGTCTGTCAAGAGCAAATAGCGAGCGCCTAAGGCGACTCGAACCCACCTCGCCACCGAATCCGCCCGCCCATCCACCCTGCGGGTGGATCGTACGGCAGGCGCTCTAACCAACTAAGGTACCTGGTCGGACTTGAGCTTTCGGGACCAATGCTTAATCTCAGTACCATTACCCGTTTAGTTTAAGTTGCACCGTGACCTAGCGGTCTGCGTAATTGGATTTGAGACTGTGCAGCTGTACGTTACGTCGTCCGGCCAAATGCAAGTAATTCCCTCTTGTGGAAGAAACGTCTTGTTGAAAACCTGATAAAACATACTGATGATAAGAACAACTCGAATAACAACCTTCCCACACAACCAGTGGCAGCGTGGTTGGGATGGGATGCATTGTAATAAGCTTAGAGCGATACAACCTGAGCTGGGTCAGTGGCTCTCTTGTTTCCGCAAAATGAGGCGAGAAGAGGTGATCCTCTGTAGGGAGCCGATAAACCTATCTGCCATCGATGTGGCGCTGTCCTCACCGTCCGCCATGTCCTTGCATCTTGTCCGCGCCTCGTGGAAGAACGTCAACGTCACTTTGGACAGCATAATTCGCCCCTTACCCTCTGTGACATACTAGGAAACAACTCACAATACCTTAAATCCCAACAGGTCTTTTTGTTTCTGAAACACATCAACTTCGGGACCATTTGCGCGGCGCACTAGTTAGGTAGAACAAAACTCGTCGTGGGCGCCAAATGACCACTGCTGTGGGTGCGCCTCTAAACTCCAATAAACAACAACAAGCGCGTTGTAAGTGGGACCCCACTTGCGAAGGACCAAGAAAGAGGATAGCGGCGTGACATAGTTGCGTGGGGTCTGATGCCCTGGTCTTGGTGAAAATAGCAACTCCATCACTTGACTGAAATTGGCCTGTGAAGCGTATTTTGCGTATCCTTAACCCATTTCACCCGCGTAACGAGATGTCTCATCTTGATATGAAGATGGGGGCGCACGCGGCTATGAACGGCTTGCTGCTAATCCCAACGCCGCCCGTCTATCTCGCCACCGACCACCGCTTGGGGAGCCGTTGAAAATACGTCCCCAGGATTTGTCATCAAATCGAAAAGGTCAAGGGGCGATGGATGACAGATCATTCCCAATTAGGAAGCATTGATTTGATATCTTCCACATGACTGATGACTTAACAATTTACGCGAAATACCTTGAAAGTCACCAACATCTGTGAATGACTTCAGAACACTTGTGTTTAGCACCCGCGTACTTGCGCCCAAGCCCGTGCCATGATGACAACGGACACGTGTCAAGATCATATCTTGTTCAGGTTAGGCTAGATCAGGTTCTGGTCTGGTTCACATGACATACATAAGTTGTTGGTGGGGAAATGTGAATCTATGTCGACTTATCACAAATTCACGTGACCCATGGCGTACGTTCTGTCACTTATGGTCCAAGATGACCTCACATGATCTCTTATGGTGGCTTGGTGTTACCTCATATAGCGGGATGTGCCCTGAGGGTAGACAGTTAAACTCGTCCTTGAATTATGTCAAAGTAATACAAAGCAAGGAAAAACGTTGCGAATCGCTGCTTGCGGAGGCAAAAATCTTCGATGTCTTCCTTCACAAAAGATGTGCGCAAATTTCAGCGATCTAACCCAGCAAGAAAGCCTTTTCTCCCACAAGGTGTGTAGTTGGTTACATGTCAGGTGCTGAGAAATTGATGAACCTGCCGCGTGCAGTGTGGAATTATTGTGGAAACTCGGAGGAAGGGACTTTAACCCACTCCGCCTTCCAGGCGGCCACGAACTAATATGTGTGTGCGTTTGAGTGTGCGGATGCACGTGTACGTGCATGTGTTTTTATGCAGACGCGTAAGAACAATAAACACCATCTGTGCTCCGCAGCAGAAGAAAGACAGGCACATTGCCTACATAGTGAACTTCTAAGAAGTTACAACCCTCTGTCTGCATGATATTGGGCGTGTCTTGATATCATTTGGTTGGAATGCGCGTGAAATATGGGCGTATTTTCCAGATTTGTTATGATGTGCCGATTTTCAGCAGCCGTTTCGCAACAGTCCTGCGGAGTTTTGACCTTGGCATTACCTGGGTGGGCCCTTTGGGAGGCTGTAGGCGGCATGGCGGCATTTCAGCTTAGTGGCGCCGCCAGCTGAGTAATTGAGTGCAAGAGCGACAACATTTCCGTTGTTCTGAATCTACATCTGTTCAGGCACTACATCTGCTCTGCAGCTGTTCAGGGACTACATTTGCCCGACATCTGTTTAGGGATTACGTCTTTTCGATATTTGTTCAGGAACTACATTTAGTCTACGTCTGTTCAGGGATTACGTCTTTTGTTTACTTGTTCAGGGACTACATTTGGTCTATATGTGTTCAGGGGCGGAAGGCTTATTCCAGAAATTGCATGTTTCGAATTTTTTTTTGGCATGCCCAAACCTTTTAAACCCACCGGGGTAACACGTTTAGCGTATAAGTGCTGATGCGTGTTTGGAGAACAGCCGGTTTTTGGTAAAATACAGCCGCATTTATACAGCTGGTGACGGATGATCGGGCTTCCCGGCTCAGTACCACATGAGCACCGGGCTTCCCGGCTCAGTATCACATTGGCGCCGGCTTCCGCGCCCAGTGTCACATGGGCGCTGGGCTTCCCGGCTCAGTACCACATGAGCACCGGGTTCCCGGCTCAGTATGACATGGACTCTGATTACATTGAAGGCGTTCGTGTTTTCTCGACAGCAGTGAGGAGTCTTTGTACGGATGACCCCGTCATGTACTTTTCGGTGCGTTGCAGACCGGACTCCGCTATCCAGCCCGTGGTCAACGATGTATTTGTGCTTGAGTTAAACACCTCAACAGCGGAATGACGGCGCCGTTAGTCAGGAACACACACCCCACTTAGTTCTGATTCCAGTTCGGGATTCCAAACTGGCCGTTTCAAGCGCTCAAAGCAGCTGCTCCCTATTGTATATTTTTTGGCCGTTTTTGCTGTGTTCCTTATTCTGGTTGGTAGGGGTAGGCGCGATGCCTATGACCGGCTAGAAAATCATTCCAAACATTTGAAGCGTAGCCATTGAGTTCGCAGTTTACTGCTTTGCATCTTATTGTTGTATCATTTCAAGCTGAAGTACTCCAATATTTTTGTGTTATCAAATAGTGGCGGAATACTTAAGGAACCATTTTTGTGTGATATCTCC